GTATGCATACATACACCACCCAGAGCCTCCAAAACCCCTTAATTAAGGAATATACCTGAAAAAATATAATAGGATCCCTAATCTCATTTTAAGGTTTTTTCCCCAAATATTATGGGGTTTTGGAGGCTCTGGGAAACCCTTATGTAGGACAAAACTTTTTCCAGAAGCAGTCTCAGCTGAAAGCCCTTCAGGAGCCGTCCATGAACAGTGACGGCGTTGCTGGCGTGCTGGTCAAGACCACACATTGGCGCCACAAGAAGGCAGTGGAGGAGCTGGCATTCCCAACTCAGGATGTGAAACCAGCGCGCAGTGCCAAATGCAGTCGCAAAATGCCGGAGTGGATGACGGACTGGATGAAGGAAGAAACCACCTGCAATCGCGCTGCTTTCGAAGCCCTCGCCAAAGACACCGCAAGAGAGATCGCTTCCAACCTCCCGCAGCAGGAAGGCAGATCCTGGCCGGAAAAGTTGAGCCAGGAAGCGGTTCTGTTGCTGCAGATGGCAAGGGAGAAATATGTATCAGAGATCATGTCGGATGCTTCGTGTTTCACGAAACATCGATTGCACGCCACTGTGAGTCCTCAGGACATGGCACTGGCCCGCCGCACTGCGGAGAAGCGCAAGCGCGCCGCAAATGATTCTTTCAATGTTGGTTTTCTTTCGCGTCGCACAACTAGTGACAACCAAAACTGACTCCGCACAGGAGTCCGAGGCGAAAAGTGAGCCGTTTGGGCACGTGCTACCCCTAAACACCCCGAAAAGAACCCTTCAAGACGCATCTGAAACCCAATCCGAAGTGCGCAATTTCGAAGTCTTTATACACTTGAAACCTTAAACGCAAACTTGAAGCCCAGCTCAAATCTGGACAAGTGCGTCTGAAGCCCAGAGCCCTTAGCCCCAAGGCCAGCTGCCTTGTGCGAGAGTGCGAGTCAAAACCCTAAGGCCCCAAACCTTCGCACACCTGCGCGAAAGAACCCTAAACCCTGCTCCCAAGTTCCGAGCCAAAACCCTCTCTGCCGGCAGGCCGCGGACGAGCTCCACCGCGAGGGGTTTCAGGGATCTAGTGGTTTGGGGGGTTTTTAGGGGCGTCGGGGGTTTAGGATGTTCAGGGCTCTAGGGGTTGCGGGTTTAGGGTTTAGGTTTAGGCTAAGGGGTTAAGGTTTGGAGGTTAGGAATTACAGATTGTTGACAGGTTGCACGTAGGACCCTGGATAAGAAATCACATAAAATTCAGGGTCTCATTTCTTGTTCCCAACGATTTCGTAATGAATGCGCTTTCCGTAGGGTCAAGAGGGCCAGTTTGGAACCGTTCGCGGTTCGGTTTTTTGCGGTTCCTAGCCGGTTCGGTTCTTGTGCGGTTCGGTTCTTATGCGGTTCGGTTCCTGCGGTTCCGGTTTCCCGGTTCGCGGTTCGGTTCCCCGGCCTTCCTGTATATACATATATATATATATATACATATATACATATATATATATATATATGGACACACCCCCCCCATGACCTACCTCGGCCTCTTTTCCATTGTAAATACCGTCAAAACGTTCTCGTTTTTTTTTTTTATTTTCGGTGGAAAACAAAAAAACTCAAGGTTTTGTTGTTTTTTTCTGCTGTGTCTCTGGTGAAAAACAAAAAAGCACCTGTGTTTTTTTGGATTTCTGCTGGAAAACAAAAAAACTCAAGGGTTTTTTAGTTTTTCAGCTGTGTCTCCGGTGAAAAACCAAAAAACACCTGTGTTTTTTTGGATTTCTGCTGGAAAACCAAAAAAACCTTTGGTTTTTGGTTTTCTGTTGGAAAACCAAAAAACCCTAGGAAAACCAAAAAATCCAAAAGTTTCGACCCACGGACAAAGGTTTTGGATTTTTGTTTTTTTGGATTTTTGGTTTTGTTGTGTTTCGGCGGAAACCAAAAAAACAAAAATCCAAAGCCTTTCTGAGGGGCCCGAAACTTTTGGATTTTTGGGTTTTCCTAGGTCTTTTTTTGTTTTTTTGGTTTTGCCTTGGCGAAACCATGGTTTTTTTTTTGATTTTCGGTGGAAAACCAAAAAAACTCAAGGCTTTTTTGGTTTTTCTGCTGTGTCTCTGGTGCAAAACTAAAAAACACCTGTGTTTTTTGGATTTCTGCTGGAAAACAAAAAAAACATTGGATTTTTTTTGGTTTTCTGTTGGAAAACCAAAAAAACCCTAGGAAAACAAAAAAATCCAAAAGTTTCGGCCCCCTCACAAAGGTTTTAAATTTTTGTTTTTTTGGATTTTTGGTTCTCGGAGCCTTAGAGCCAACACAGCCCGCAGCATGCTTGATCGGAGATGGTTTCGTTGTTTACGCGCAGTAGTCTTCATATTTGCATTAGGCATTAGTGTTAGTATTAGTATCTGCTTTCTAGCGTGTTGATTAGTGTTACTGTTAGTGTTGGTGTCAGTGTCAATGTCAATGCCAATGTCAGCGTTAGTATTAGTCTGAATATAAGTCTATACAATAGTAGGTGTACTAATAGTAGTGTTAATGTCTAGCGTGAGTTTTAGTATTCGAATTAGTCTTGGTCTTAGCCTCTGCGTTATTCTTAGCGTTAATATTAACCCGTGTATAGTCTCATATCAGTATATTCTGTATTTGTAAGTCTATGGTAACATTGGAATAGTAGTATACGAGTATATTATTTATTGGTATGTGAAAATACAGATTCTTTGGTACATTGATGTGTCTGTTTTTTGCATTTGGTTTGAACGTGATTATTCGTATTCGTAGGAGCATCAATATTGGTATCAATAGCATTATCGCTGTTCATACTATGCATAACCGTATTAGCTGGAGTATCAAATGGTAATACTGCTATTCATGTTAGTATAGGTTTTTCAATATGAATATAAATACTGAGAATAATTAATCAGACTATGCGCATTAATGTCCGGAGGAACTGTATCACTTATGTGCATATTAGTATTAATGTTAGCCTTTGCGTGTATATTGGTATCAAATAAATACTAAAATTACTATCAATATGGGTATTTTTTTGATATTCGTAGGAACACTAGTATTCATATTAGTATCGGTATTACTGAGAGTATCAGTATTCGTAAAAATATTTGTAATCATAGTAGTTCATATCAGTACGAGTATTAAGATGAGTTCTGATGCGCATATGAATACTTTCGAAGGAAAGCTGACCTTAATTTAAAAGAAATGGTAATGAATACTATTACGAAAACATAGTAATTCTGGTATTGATACGAATACCCATATTAATGTCCTATTATGTATAATCGCAGTAGCCTGAGTATTGGTATGCATTTTCGGACAAAAATTTATTCATATTGAGAACAGTTAATAAGAATATGCGTATTAGTATCCCCAGGAGTGTCAATATTCCCATCAGCACTACTATTCGTATTAGTAGTGTTATTTTTAATACTAGTATTAACCATTAAGCCTATTATGTTGTGAACAGTAATATCCTTATTCGTAGGAGTAGAAATCTTAGTATCAGTATTAGTATTCGCACTAGTAATAGCTATTATACACATTGGCGCATGAGTAATCTAAGAGCTTCACACAGAATAAACCTGTGTGCACATGTAACCCTCATTACGATCCTAGGTAGGATGCACACATCGTTCTGTCTTGGTCCCGTCTTTGGGTTATGCTATGAGTACATGAACAAAATTATAAACAGACAATGACAAACACAAAGTTATCCGGCGCATCTAACGATCTTACGTAGGATGCAGACACTGTTCTGTCTTGGTCTTTCGGGTTATGCCTATGGTCATTGTATGACCAGAATTATGAGTATCCGGATCATTTAGACAGTATCCTATTAAACACTTGCAGGCATTGAAGCCTGCCCAAATCCGCCAACGGCGATGTCGCGCCGTCGTAGGTCATTACAGTGTATTCAGCTATTAAGTATACACGATATATGTTTCTATTGTTTCTGTATGAGCGTATTCTATCCTAATGGTTTCCTCAAATCCTTACATGTTCTACCACCCATTGCTAGCCGAAGCACCTCGCGGTAGGTCTTCGGGGGGGGGGGTGTGTGTGTGAGCATATATATATATATATATGTATATATATATATATATGTATACATATATACATATATACATATATACATATATACATATATACATATATACATATATACATATATACATATATACATATATACATATATACACATATACACATATACACATATACACATATACACATATACATATATACATATATACATATATACATATATACATATATACAAAAATACATATATACACATACATACACATGCATAGACATACGTACTCATACATATACGCATTTCTAGACATACATATACGTGTCCATATACTTATACATCTACACATACACATACAATAAAGGTGTGTATAATATATGTACATATATGCATATGCATATGCATACACACATACGTACATATACACGCACACACATACATGCATACATACGCAAAGCATGCATACATTCATACATGAATCACATACAGACAGACATACTTATCGTACGATATAGGTGCATGCATACATAAATGCATACATATACATACATACATACCTGTAAATGCATGCACGCATGCGCACATGTGTACATGCATACATCGCATAGTGTACGTATAATATACATACATGCATGCATACATAGTACATCCAGAATTATTTGTATACATAAATACACAAATCCATCCGTCCTTCCGTCCGTCCGCCCACCATCCGTCAACCATCCGTCAATCCGTGCATCCGTCCATCCATCCATCCATCCAGCCATGCATGCATGCGCATAAGCCGACGGCCCAACGTACTCCTGCCAGTGCTGCATTTCTGGCGCCTAGATAGTTTCGGCCCCCTTCACACCACCGTTTTAGCCTCATTCTTTCTTTCATGACCTACTCCATCCGTGTTTTCGCATGTTGTGCTCATATGTGCTCATTTCCAGACAAGAACAGTTAAACATCGCTAACATCTTTCGGTTCCACGAGCTTGCTGAGAGGTGGCGGGCGAAATTGTACGCTTGGCTCCCAAAAGCCCGTGTACATCTGTGCTGCAAGAAATCGATCTGCTTTGCTTTGGACGCTGCCTTTCTCACCTTTTCCTTCCCAGGTGACAATCAGGAACCAGTGCCCGACTGCGTGCCTGAACAAGGCCTTGATATCCCATACTCCACATGGTGGACACGTCGTCGCCCCTGCAACGGAAGGTTCAGCAACACCTGCGGGAGAGAAGGTCCAACTTGCGGAGAAAGAAGGCTGTTGCAGAACTTCCATTTGTTGTGTTAGTTGGGTTCGTTGCACTCTATTGGTCGAGGAGCCTGAAGTTCTTCAGCTAAATTTCCAGGTGCCAAAAGAAAAATGCCTCCTCCACCAGTTCCGAACAAGGCAAGCTGCAGCTTCAGTGGGCAAGGACACAGTTCTGAACAGCACATTCTCGAGGCAAAGAAACCTCGCCGATGGGACGCAAAGAGGCACTTGCGTTGCAGCAGTAAATGCTGAGAACTCTGGCTGGTAGTAAAGCCGTGTCAAGATGATCTGAGAGGAAGGGGAAGTACATCGAGGAGCTGCATAAGCTTACAGTCAAGGAGCTGGTTACTCAGAAATTTCCCGAGCTTTCAAGGCAGATTCGTGATTGTAACGGCACATGTCAGGCTTCGCAGCTCTTGCCGAGAGAAAGGAATCGACAGCAAGGGATGTAAAGCGAAGTTGGTTGCAACGCAGACATGTTTCGCTTTGAAGCCCTTAGCGCGATGCTACCGCAGTGCCCCGGCAGCCAGGAACGTTTGGTGGAAGTGGAGATTCAATCCACGTCCAAGGTCCCAAGTTGATGCACACGCCGTAGGAATCCGCTGCGCAGTTCTTGGGAGCGGTAGGACGTAGAAGTGCCTTCTCCTGAAGAAAGTGGGCTTTGGATTCCGCCGACAAGGTGGTTGTTGATGATCTCTTCACGACGCGCTTTGTTGAGTTCCGTTCTTAGCAGGTCGCCGCTGCGAGGAGGTCAGGAGGCACTGCAAGCTAAACTTGATGCACAAGAGCAGGAGGTGGGCGGGCTGGGGCAAGTGGGGCGCGCGCACACTCGTGTTTGGGAGAGCTTCCCATGCTTTGGCCGTTCATGGCCGTTCCAGGACCGTGCCTCCTCATCTGCGACGCAAGCCGCTCAAGCGGCGGATGCTGTGAGGGAAGTCGTGTCATCCCTTGCGAAGAAACTGGGAGCAGCAGACTTACGACCTTGAAAGGCATACACGTGCACTTGCGGCACTTGCGGCGCTTGGTAGTCTTGCGGTTCTCTGAGTTCTGAGGCCTTGCCTTTGGCCGAGCTCCGCGATGCCTGCCGCGCACGGGGGCTGCCGGCCTCCGGCAGCCGCAGCGAGCTCGTGGGCCGCCTCGCAGCCCTGGCACCGCAGGCGAAGCGCTAAGAAGAGCGCTGCCGAAGACGTGATCGCACCGTTTCGGAACCTCTTAGAACTTGGGTTAAGCGACTTCTGAAACATGCGTTCTCAAGCACAAGCCTTGCACGAGCGTGCAAGCATCGCCAGCTCCTTCGTCTTTCCGTGCAGCATCGGTCGATGCACACTTCCACGTGCATACCAACGCACAGTGGCCATGCCCGCTGCGCACATGCCACAACCAAGGCTGGGCGTAATTTTGCTTAAGGCTCATCGACCCACGTCCTTCGAAGTGCGAACGATTGACAGCCTTCCTTAGCACCGTTACACTTACAATTTCTGTCAAACTTCTCTGCTTTTCATCACGAAAGACCTTTTACGTTGGTTGTGGTTTTTGGGCATGGTGTTGCTTGTACTTTCTTTCCGTCGGTGCTTACGGTGGCAAGTCCGAATGGAAGCGAGGCCAAAGCCCTCCAGGGTGCCAAACCTAAGCTCCAATGTGGCGAGCCCCAAGGCCCTAAAAGATAGGGTGGTGAGAGAAGGGGTAGCGAACCAAAATCTTGCACGGTTGCGGGCCTTTTTTGTCGTACAGGTAGGTGACTGTTCGTGCTTGTTTTTGTCTTTGTCTTGAGCAGCGATGTTTTTTTGCGTCGAGGTATTTCCAGGTAGAAGCTTAAGTAGCCGGTAGATCTTTCTACACGCAGGTGGTCGTGGTGCAGGGGAGCGGTAGCAGTCAGGAGTGCATGATTTCGCGAGGGTAGCCGCTGCAACTCCCCAACACCCTCATCGCCCCATTCTTGAATTTGGCCGTGGAACTAGCCTGCTCCGATGAATGCACTATCAGATGCCAGGCTATCTTTGTCACTCGTCACCCATCACCATTTTTGGCTGAAGTTCGGTGCAGGTCGAGCCTGGCCAGTCACGGCCTCGTAGTGTCATCGTCGAAGGTGGGGGTCGGGGTGTTGTCTGCGGTGGGAGAGGTCACAAGACACTCAACCTGCACCTTCGGCGGAAGAGGCGCCAACATGAGTTTTGAAGCAGACTGACACATTTCCAGCCACGGTCTGAGGTCCCTGCCAGCATGGAAGGCCTCTCCTTGGTGGCTTTGCAAGCTGCCTGCCCGCGACCTGTCGACACGATGGCCGGAAGTGTTCTGACGCACCTTCGTGTCTCCAAGGCCGCGCTTGTGGCCTCGATGCTGCCGGTGACACAGCGGACCTCACAGCCCGGCTGGCCGTACATGCGGCATGCGAGGCTGAGACTGGTGCGAAGGGCAAACCAGGCACACGCAGCATCATGCCCGTTTGCAGGAGCCTATTGGACCGGAGGAGGCTGTCGGCGACTTTTTCATTTTACGTACGCGTGATGTGGCTGTATTTTGTTGCGAGGAGACCGAGGAGTTGCAGGGACAGCAGCAAATTGTCGAAACACCCACCGAGCCCACCGAGGACCCCCTACAGGCCACGACTGAACCAGAGCCCTCGGAGTGTCTCGATGCTGCAATTGCGGACGTGGAAGCGGGCCGCGCCGCCAGTGGAGGAGCTGGCCTACTTGTGCAGCCATCAGAGGATATTCAAGTGAAGGAAATGCCTGTCACAGAGCAGCTGGACTTGGTGCCCTCACAGCTTTCGATTCCTGCGGCTCAGCCAGATTGGCCTTGGCAGCAGGGTGGGGCCGGGGCCAGCGGATCCGAGACAGTGAGAAGTCCAGTGGACCTCTGCGCTTCACAGCCGTTAGACGAGGGCTTTCGTGCAGGCCTCAGGTTGTTGCACACAGCGGAGCTTCGGCACCTTTGCGAGCAACGCGGTCTGGCCTCAACTGGCGAGAAGAGAGAGCTGCTGAACACGCTGCTGCTTCACTTTGCCTGTGCCCCCCAGCCCACTCCGACCCAGAATGCTCGCAGTTGCATCTCGCAACAGCATCAGCCTGCCCCTGTGCAATCTGCCCCTGCCAGTGCAGCTGTTGTGACACCCGCTGCTTCCAAGTCCAAGACGAAGGCAGCGAGCCCTGCGCAACCCAAAGTGCCACCGCAGCCATGCATTGATCCGGAGTCGGAGAAATCTACAGCAGCACAACGTAAGCTGCAAACACAGCCAAAATCTGCAGAAGCAAATGTCAGCAATATGCAGACGGTGCAGACAACTCTCGTCAAAGAGGTTGAGCAGTTGCAACCCCTGAAGCCCGTGCAGCGAGCACCTCTCGCTCATCCCTCATTGCTGCGACGCCAGCGTGGCCCCGGACCCGGACCGGCAGTGGCTCCCAATTTCTCTGCACTTTGGCAATCAATCAGCAAATCACGACCCGGGCCCAAACAGCGAAGCGAGAATGCTGAGAAGGCTGATGCAGGCGCTCAGAGCTCGGCTGATTGCAAGGGCTTTCAGACTTCCCTTGGCCAGGTGTCGGTCTCACAGTGCCTCCTCCCGGCATGTTGCCGGCCCATATGGGAGACAGAGTCAAATCCCGGCAGACGCGGTCGCGCCGTCGGACACAAGCTGTGGGCTCCTGCCATGCCTGGACCGTTGCAGGCGTGGAGATGCAGCGCTTGAGACTGTCCGAACGTCGCATGATGTCGCATGTTCCTCTCCAGGTGCTCCGTGCCGCAATGCTGGACACATCAAACCTGTTGGCGCTCGCTTTGTCTACTGCGCGAGGCGCGAGCACGCGATGGAATTGAGTCTTGTGAGATCGACGTGTAATCCTGGCAGCGAGGCACAGTCCCCGATGGCCACGTTTCGAGACCGTGGGTGTCGATGAGTTGAAGCCCCGCCCTGACAGCGATAGCAGAGGCTTGGCAAAAAATTGCTCCAGGAGTGCCAGAGTCCTCGCTGTGCCCTCGCTCCACGTAGCTGTTCGTGCGAAGCTGCGGTGCGAACCTCTCAGGATCCAGAAAGGGAGCGAAGGACCGCGCTGCAAGCGGCCTGGGCCTGCAACGTCACACTGCGAAGCTTCTTTCTCGACAAGATGAAGATGCAGCAGCTGCAGCGCCAGCGCCAGCGCCAGAGGCGAGACATGAAAGGAGAGCAACAGTTCCAACAGCAGCACCGGAGTCGTCGGCTACTGCGAAGCTGGCAAATGGCATCCCGAGGACAGCTTGCATTCCCCAACAGAAAGAATCGCCATGCGGCTTGGTGTCGACGTGCTCAGACAGCTTCATGGACTAGTGGCGTGACAGCTAGTGTACCCGCCCCACGCTCCTGGAAGGGCTGCTTTCAAGCAACTAAATTGAGCCAAAGCACCAAGCAAACCAAACAAAGCACCAACAAACAATCGACGCACCAGCAAGTGTTTCCAGACTGGTCCCGAAGACTCGAACCGTGGATATTTGTGATTTCTTTTTGCTTTACCCACCGCTCCAGCTGGGTTGAGGGTTGTGCAGGACCACTGAAAATCTAAAACACACAAAAGTAAGCATTTCCTGACTGGTCCGGGCCAGTTCAGAGCACCATGTAGGTAGTTTGGTTTGCTTATGAGCACCGCCTGCATCTGCTTTTAGCGACAGAGCGTACTGCAGTCTTTACGAGATGTAGGCGCTGTTTTGTTCCGTGTCTAAAGGAAATGAAGGTACAAGCTCTTCACTCAAGAGCCGGGGTGTGCTTATTAGAGCAGTTTGTCAGCTGAGGACAAACAAGCTTTGATTTTTCTGCTCGTAGAAGGACGGTTGCCTCTCAGAAAGAAGCAGACGAGTCCTAGTTTTGGTAATGAAAGGATGGAGAAGCCCTCGTTTGGATGTCTCAGAAGCTGTTGAATTCAGTGTGCGGAGATTGGACGATCCCTCTTTGGAACAAATAAAGTGCTTCTCTTCGTACGTGTCACGCGATTGACCATGTCTCATGTTTGAAATTCTGAAGGGCCCTCTTGGTGATTAAGAAGACGCGAGCTTTCTAGTTTTCTCATTTTCTTATGAACGTAGAAGTTTAGGGAAGCTCGTGATCTCCGTATGAAAAACATTCTTGCGGCGCTGAACACAAACTGATCTCTCTCTTTCTCTCTCTCTTTCTCCATCCCTCAGTTCAGGTGAAGACAGGCCACCACTCTCTTACTTATCATATCGAAAGAAGTCTTCCCCCTAAGGATGTTCTCGGCGCCTTAGTCAAACACACATACAGGCTCTTCTGCTTTGTTGACGAGAGCTGCTAGATTAGTTTGTTTGGAGACAAGGCCACTGTTCCTATTCATTGACTTAGTGACCCAGTGCCTGATAACTAGATGCAGGTATACATCAGTTCGTGGCTCATAAGGAAGCAGTCTGTTGCAAGTTAAGGCACGAACTCAAGCATACATGTTCCCTTCTCTGATTAAAGGCCAGAGCAGATTTAATACCTAGGTCTTGATGAAGCGAGGGAGCAGCTTTTTGCCTGCGTTCATGACAGAAGCTCTCCCTTGATCAAGTTCTATTGGTGTTTCAGAAGCAAGCGAATCTGGGAAATGAGCTGCATTGCCTTTCTCTCTATGCACGATAAGGTAGCCCGGTTTCTGACTGTCGAGAGTACCGATGTTTGTTTGCCTTGTTCGGAGACATCGAGGGTCAATACAAAGCATATACTTATCTACATACATATATATATATATAGATAGATATGTATGTACAAGGAGGATCTATGTTGTCGTTAATACTCTTAGAGCTGGTGCGCATAATGGTCATGTGCAGGGGTGTACTTGACACACAGTTCGCCAGCTAGTTTTAGACGAATAAGCAATTTGCGACCCCGTAAAGACGATGTGTTTAGTGCGTGATTTTCAGACAAGGCTTTTAGCAAGACAGGCCCCGTGGCGATTCACTCTCCGGAAGACTGCCTATCGAGCATGCATAACTCCCCGAAATGGTGCGAGGAAGAAGCAATCGGCCGCTCAGCTGTTAGCAGAGGCAGACTGCGCTGCGCTTCTTTTGTGCCATTTTCATGCGAACTGCTGCGCAGGCATCGACGGGGAAGGCATCCCACGACAAGGTGCTTGAGATCGCTAGTCCCGGCTTGGGAGTCATCCTGCCAGCTTGACTGGATGGCGCTGAAGGTGTCAAAGTCGGCACGCGGTGTCTCAATCCGGGCGGCGGAGTCTTCAGCCTCAGCCTGCACATCCGGACCGGTCGCTGCAGAGAAAGGCACCAACAACAGGACGCGAGCACTGCAGAGAGTCAAACAACTCAAACTCGTTTGCAGAGCCGATGAAGCAACCAAATGCCCAGGAACGAGCGCAAAAGAGCAGCACCGATGACCGAGGCAGCAGAAGTTGGGCAACTGAAACAGTGTCTTGTTGCAGCGGAAGTTTCCATTTACTTCAAACAGAACGTTGGATTCACGAGAACTGTGCTTGCCTTTGGTCTTAGACGCTTCGCCAGGAACGTCCTGGAAAGAGAACCCGAGACAAGGACCTCAAGTAGAAAGCATCCATGCACTTGCATCCTGTTCGGTTGTGTTTAGACTTCGCCACTCTTGAATCAGGCCAAACTTTCAGGGCTCTCGCAGCTCATTGGGCTTTTGCCGAGGCGGGTTAGGTTGTGGAGTAGACTCCCCATCAAGCTGTTCAAACGCAGGTCAGAGTCTTGAAGCAATCAAATGACGATTGTGTTGCATGATCTCATCCAGAGCTTCCAGTGTCTGAAAAATGTGTTGTGTACGGAGAACTGCAGATGCATAGCCTGCCACAGACATGGCGAGATGTTGAACGCTGGAAGCATAAAATACTGTTTGTGCAGAGAAGTTTGCAAGTGTGACCGGTGCAAGACATGTCGGATGCTGCACTGTGACTGTGTAGCAATGGAAAGCAATAGATCCGAGTTCCCGACGACATCATGCTTTGCACCGCATGTCGATGAACATTCAAAGTGATGGCGCCTGCTTGCTTGAGGCTAGCCATAGGCTCAGAGTTGTCATGCTGATCCGCCTTCTAAAACACGTATGAATATGCACATTCGCATCTTGTATGCGTGTACATCTCACAGCTGACCGTATCGCAAACAGCAAGCAAGCAGGAAGCCAAGAACACAGCTCCTGCAAGCAAGCACGCTGCCTCCCACCGACAACCAACCGAGCAACCAAAAAGCGAACCAAACCAAAAATCTAGCAACCAAAACAGGCAAACAGACAAATGCACAAAACAAACAAGCAAACAAGCAAACAAACAAACAAACAAACAAAAACAAACAAAAAACAGACAAGCAATCATTACAGTACAAACAAGCAACAACACACGAACAGCAAACGAACAAACACTGTATAAGCATACATGAACATTCATACATTTACATGCATACAGGCATACATACATTCGTACATAGAGAGACATGCAGACATGGACACGGACAGACAGTGCATATGTATGTATGTGTAGAGGCATATATACCTAGTTGCATAAGACATACATGGAAGTATGGCCTCACAGGCAGGAATGTCTGACAAAAGACACGCCTGGTAGCAAGTCAATCCACAAGGATTGCAGCGGCTCGGAAAGCGAGACCGCTTTGAAGGGGTTCCGCGCAGTCAGGCCGGCAGGGG